CCTCTGGGGAGGATTCTTGTAGAGAAAGAAGGCAAGCATGTTATTAGGCAATAAAAGGTTTTGGATCCTCCTTTGAATCCTGCTTACTTTTCCTCTAAAAAAAGATACATTTTCCCCCATTCAGTAGGTTGCCTTGTCATTTTGTTGACAGCTTCCTTTGCTGTGCAAAAAGCTTTTTATTTTGGTATGGTCCTGAGAGTTTATTTTTGCTTTTGTTTCTCTTGCCTGAGGAGACACATAAAAATGTTCCTATGGCCCATGTCAAAGAGATCACTGCCTATGGGGCCTTCTGGGAGTTTTGTGGTTTGCAAATGATGTATCTGGTAAGGGTTAATATCCAAAATATATAAAGAACTCATACAACGCGACACCAAAATAACATACAATCGGATTTAAAAATGGGCAAAGGACCTGAATAGATATCTTCCCCAAGCTGACATAGAGATGGCCAACAGACACGTGAAAAGATGCTCAACATCACTAATTATCAGGGAAGAGTAAACCAACACCATGAGGAGGTATCGCCTCAACAGAATGGCTCCACTCAAAAAGACAAGAAATCACGTCGGTGAGGATGTGGAGAAACAGGAACCCATGAGCGCTGTTGCTGGAATGCAAACTGGCGCAGTCACTGTGGAAAACAGTATGGAAGTTCCTCAAAAATTTTAAATGAGAATTATAATCCAGGGTTTCCCCTACTGTGTAGCTGCCCCAAGAAAACAAAAACACGAATTCAAAAGAATATACGTACCCCCGTGTTTATTGCCGCATTATTTACAAAAGTCAAGAGGTGGAAACACCTCAAGTATCCGTCGACAGAAGAACGGGTGAGGGCGATGTGGTATGTACAACGGAATATTACTCCGCCATAAAAATGAAGGAGATCTTGCATTTGCAACAACATGGATGGTCGTAGAAGGTATAAGACTAAGTGAAATAAGCCAGAGACAAATAACATATGATTTCACTCCTATGTGTTATTTAAGAAAGAAAACACACAAAGAAACCAACACAAAAACCAGACTCTTAAACACAAAGAACAAACTGGTGGCTCCCAGGAAGGCGGTGGGTGGGGAATGGGTTAAACAGGTAAAAGGGATTAAGAGCACGCTAATGTCGAAGAGCACTAATATATAGAATGGTTGAATCATTATATTGTGTCCCTGAAACTACTATAGCACTGTATGTTAATTATATTTCAATTTACAAAAGGAAAAAAATACACATTTCTAACCTACAGGGCTAATTTGGGGGGGGGGCATCTAAATGTTGTTTTTTTTTTGTTGACCTAGGAATGACAATCTAAGGACAACCAAAGATACTGTATAATTCAGATATAACAAAGCATATATATATATATAAGAGAGAGTGTATATACAAATGTGTGTGTGTGTGTGTTTAAGGAAACAGTCTAAAATTTATTTTGGTTGGGGGTTTCCTATTTCAAATAGCAAATCAGTTAAGAAATATGCAAATCCTAATTTCTTTCTATACTAATTTACTTTTAACTATTACTAAAAAAAACAATTCTCAGAGCATCCTCTACTATGTAACAACGTCTAAAGCCATCATTTTACATCAACATATCATTTGACTCAACATACAAGGGACAGCACTAGCCAGCTGGAAACGTGCTTTATCTCAAGTAAGGAAAAATTCTGTACGTAAGAAAAAAAACAAAACAAAACAAAAAAACCCTAAATTCAAAAGGAAAAAAACAAAAGAATACAGGCTTGAGAAAATGTACTTGTTTTTCTCATCTCATGTATGAAACATACATACAAAGCACTGGAAATAGTGTCTAGGGGCTCAATTTAGCATTCAATAAATGAGTGCTAATTCTTATTAATTATCATTACAGGCAATGGCTCATGTTAGCAGGCCATCTTCCATTTTCCCACTGGGGAAGGCAAGGAGTACTGAAGGAAGGGATCACAATCTTGCGAAAATCTTCAGGGGTGGGGAATACACTGAAAAAACTGCTCAAGATTTCTCAAATCCAGAAGCAAGAGAAGGTAATTACAGAGGATCAGTGTTTCTGATCCGTCAAGGAAGGGCCATCGCCTAAAAAAGAGAGAGAAGGCTTGTTCCGCCTTTTCCAGAGCCACAGCCTTGAATTCAACGGTGAAAGTTACAAAGGAACATGGTGGTTATGAGAAAGACTCTCCAACACGGAAAACACTCAGCTCATAAAAGGATGGGATGCCCTGAATAGAGAGCACACTGTTACCGGTGTGAATGCAGGAGTTTCACCACGCAAGGGTGATCAAGAAAAGCTTCCTTGGCACATCCTCTCTAGATGACAATCAGGACAACCACCACAGCCACGGGGATAATGACAGCTGACACTTCTAAAGAAACTGCCCAGCACTGCTCCACTTGAGATATACGGACCCATTTAATCCTCACCACCGCCACTGGGCTCCACAGCCTGTGCTCTTAACTGCGACTATACGCTGCCTACCTCCCACATTTAGAAACCTGAGCACCGGGGCGCCTGGGTGGCGCAGTCGGTTAAGCGTCCGACTTCAGCCAGGTCACGATCTCGCGGTCCGTGAGTTCGAGCCCCGCGTCGGGCTCTGGGCTGATGGCTCAGAGCCTGGAGCCTGTTTCCAGTTCTGTGTCTCCCTCTCTCTCTGCCCCTCCCCCGTTCATGCTCTGTCTCTCTCTGTCCCAAAAAAAATAAAATAAACGTTGAAACCTGAGCACTAACCTCTCTTCCTCATTTGTAAAACGAGGATAACAGCATCTATCTCAGATGATAGTGATAAGGAGTAAATAGATTTGTTTAGTACCTAGAATAGTGCCTGCCACATAGCAAGTACCTTATATACAATTTTGTGTGTGTGTGTGTGTGTGTGTGTGTGTGTGTGTATATATATATATATGTCATTTCAGCCTTTAAGAAAATTTTCTACTTGGATGCCAAGTTAGGGGAGGAATAAAGAGCTGGCCTGGCTACAGTGAGCAATGTGACTTAAATTGTTTATTTATTTATTTTTGTAAGTGCAACTCAAGCCTTGCTGATTTAGGATCGATTCTCTAACAAAACAAAATGAGCCGTGAAAAATACGGGCAAAGCTGAAGCGAGAGTTCTGCAGTGAGGTCCGATTCTCTGTGTGCACTGCCACGGCTGATCGTAAGCAAGGCCGTGAAGAGAGGGGCCTCATCCATCACCCACTGCTGACTTCTCTTACCATCCTCAAGGCCCCGGCCAGCAATTCAGCTACACTTTTAGCAGAAGCTTTAGTTGCTTCAAACACTGGACTCAACCCAGATCTACTTAACCAATGCCCAAACCTAGGTCAATCCAATCCATTTCTTCTGCACCTGCCATCCAACTGCAACCAGCCATCCAATGTGGCCTCATAAACCTTCCTCTTGACCTTAAGTCACTGCTTTATGGAATTTCACAGAGGCAACATTAAATCTTTCCTTTGCTCAAGCTTCTGAATCTACTCCCGCCCGCCCCTGAATATCCTAGACTACTTGATAACTGGAAAACAAGAAGCAATCAGATACAAGTTCTTTCTACTTCTCAGACACCTTCTTCCCCACCCATAAACTTCTGCAATAGCAAATCAATTCGGCAGGTACTGGTATCTTTGCCCAGCCTTCCTGCTCTCCTTTCTGCCTTCAGACCTCCTTTCTCAGGCCAACCCCTTCTTCTATTCACTGATGCTACTCAGGAAATAGAAGTTACATCTTCCTTGGTTTGTTGTTCTGGAAACTATTCCCGTCTCCCACCTCTCTCTTGGGTCTTCAAACGTTTCCTACTCCTCCATAAAGATGGCTATACAAAAAAAAAAAAAAAAAAAAAAAAAAAAAAAAAATCCCTATTTCTGTTTCCCTTATAAGCCTTGACACTTTCTCCCACCTTACTGCCAAATATCTAAGAGTGGTCTCTTGCCGTAGGAGTGTGACCTGTTGACCTAATGTAATAAATGTGAATCAGTGGAATGCAACGTGATACAGATTATTCTTGATTATAAGCAATCTTTTAAGTACGTTTATAGGTTGGGACACCCAACATCTGTGTATTTGGTGACCGTTCATTATTTTTTCCATTTTCATTGTTTTTCACAAATATAATAAAGGGAACCATACCACAGACGTTTCTTACATAAAACTGAACTTTAACTAAATGTGGATAGGTGCTTTGGGACTTCGAGCACAAAGTTGATAGCACAGCAATACTAATACCTTAAAAATGTTTCTTTGAAGGATAATTCTTACATGAGCTAAGTCCTCACATTTTACAAAGTAATGACTAACGTTACGAACAAGAATGTGGTCATGTAAATGGTCTCTATAAACTCTTAGAGCTACATCTGATTTAAAATTTACCAACCATATAGACAAATAAGCTTAGAGAAATAAAGGTTTCCCTATACTTTCAGAAAAAACGATCTGGCAAAAGGACCATAAAATAGCAGAGAAGATGCTGTCTTTAACAAGAAAGCAGGCCAGTGAGAATCGGGTACAGAAAACAAGGGGACAGAGCACCAAGGGTCAGTTCCCTTAGGGCCTCCTAGGCCAGAATCAATACGATTTGGTACACCAGGAAGCAAATGAAAAGCTTTAAGCTAGGGGATGGAAGGATCACATGTGCAATTTTAAAAGGATTACTGTAGTTGCTTGCTGTATGGAGAACGAATGGATAGCCAACCAGAGTGAGTGGTGTAGGGACAAGTGGGAATTAGGAGGCTACTTGGGAAGTCTAAGAGGAAAATGATGGAAGCCTAGGTCAGGGTGGCAGTCCACACAGATTCTGGAAGAGAAAATCAGCTAAGACTTGGTGAAGACGGGAGGAAAGAAGGGAAAAGAGAGGTCAATGACATGTCGGTTTCCTGAATTTATACACATATATACGTGCAAATGAGGAGTAAAACACCTCGTACAATATATACTGAATTAACAGAAATTACCTAGGGGAAGGGAAGATGAATTTTACATAATAAACGGCAGACTTTCATTTTTTTACTCCACAGATAACTGCATTGTTTGAATATTTTTATAATCAGCAGGTATACATTCTTTCATAGTTAAAATTAACAGGCAATAAAAAGAACCAAAGCATTTGCCTGGCTGAAAAGGATAGGAATGGCATTTTAAAGAGAAGGAACAATCCATCCAAAGGCACAAACACATGAAAGTACATGGCGTATTTAAGGACCATCAAGTAGTCTAGTGTTTGCAGAGTGAGAAGGAAGGATGTGTATTGGGATAGGATAAGCAGAGTTGTACAGTGGTTTTCCAGGATGGCCAGTTCATGAAGGACCTTATTACATGCCAGGCTAGAGAAAGCATTCCCTAAACTGTGGGAAATGGGGAAGCAAAGGAAGTTTTCAAGCAGGAAGGTGAAAACAAAGCAAGGTTTCTACTTGACAAAGATCACTTCAGAGGCCGTGTGGAGACTGCGTCCAAAGGAGGGTGAGAAAATGGGTGAGACCACCTTAGGCTGGAACATAAGCTCAGAGGCAAAAGAAAGAGAGAAGAGGAGAGGCTGGAGATTCATTTCAGTAAACAGAACTTAAGTGATTAAGCTGGATGTGACAGGAAAAAGAGAAAGTCAAAAATGCTTCTCATGGTTTCTAGTTTAGAAAATGAGAGAGTGAGGACATCAATTTAGGTAATTCGAGAACAGGTTCAATGAGAAGAGGATACATTTTGTTCTGGGGATGCTGAGGTTAAAGTACCTCTGGAAGCAGGTTAAGGTACCCAACAGGAAGCTGGATATATAGGTTTGAATTTGAGGAACAAGGTCAAGACTGAAGCATGTGAACCATTACCCAGAACAGAGAATTTTAAGCCTATATAAACAATCTTACCCTTGACATAATTTCACTGAATTCTTAAGGCAACTTTCAAAAGCTGACCAGTTCCATTTATTCTCATAGCTGTAAAAATTCCACACAATCGTTAAAAGTCTCTGTAAGCAGTGAACTTAAAGATTAAGTCGGAGCTTTTTGTATTGGTCTCTCTTTTATTTTTTCCCCTTCTCCTTTTGCTGCCATTCTTTCTATCCAGTAAAGGAAGATATAGGAAGTATAATATAGAAACGTTTGTTATTAAATATTTCCGTATTTTGTCTTAGTTGTAACAAGGCAAGGAAAAGAACATTTCAGAACTCTACCTAAACGACACCTAAGTTAAGCAATGATTTACCTACGTGACCCTCCACTGATTTTTCTCTTGCACGTCACCGACCCTCAATCAATCGGCAATCCCAAGGCAGTCGACTCCAGCTACAGCTTTAACTAGAGGTTCCTGACATGACTCCACACTTCTGTGGTTGCTCACTGTCAGAAATCCAAGTTACACTGTACCTCTGTCTAACCGATGATGCCCTAGTTCGTTGGGAGGTGGGGGGGGGGGGAAGGACCTGTTGGCAAGGAAACAGCTGCTTCCCTCCTGAGCCAGGGAAAACCCGGAAGGTGACAGATGGGCAGGACAGAAAGGTGGCCAAAAGTTGCTCTGGCTCCTTGGTGGCAAGGATTTTCACTGAGGCACAATTGGATATTTTAAAGCGTGTCAATCAACGAGAGACTTTTATCTGCCTGGGGGCCCTGGTGAAGTCCAACAGAGCTTCCCACATTTTCTATGTTTGAAAAACTTTTAAGTTTGCAGTGGTAAAAGAACCTGGTCTCAGCCTATGTACAGTGGGCTGAGACTGCAAGGCACTGGCCCGTGTCACTTCAGGATTATACCCGAGAGAATGCACTTTCTGGTCTAAAAAAAAAAAAAAAAATTTTTTTTTTAACTTTTCTGTAGCGATATTTGCATGACTAATTAGAATTCCCATTAAAATTTCATTAGAAAATGCTTTTCTTAAATGTTTACTATTATATAATTTTAAAAGACTTGTTGCAAGCTTTTATATTTTGCTCATCATTTCCCCTCCCAGCCACTTATGAACCCAGAAAATTATATATCCAAGGACTCCTGGGTAAAAGAGACACCACTGGGTTGATGTGTTATAACTAACATTCTTTTTAAAAAACTGCTGTAAATACGGAAGTTATTCTTCAAATAGAAATCAGCAATCACTGAAAAGTAATATTAAAAATTAGTGTGGGCATGAAATATGGAATTCTAAAACATCAGTTTACTATGCTGATTAATTCAACATTTATATTTGCATCAGAACTTAATAATCCCATAAATAAATAGAGCTCTCAATTATTTTAAAAAATCAAGGGATAACATATGTATTTAAACATATTAGCAGCATAAAGACGTATGCTTCAACACACTTATTGGGAAAACGTCTGAAAATATTACTACACTGAATTCAAGGGCATCCCGCAGGAACCTGACATAAAAGTTCTCTAGAATAACAACATTTCAGGAAATTCCAAAAAAAGGAAAAGGGTCAGATAGGAAAGAGCCTCAAATTAATTGACAAAGTTCAGTGCTTGCTCCAACTTGATTTTTCTCTCCATTGCAAAAAAAAAAAACACCCCGAGTCTCAGATGGGTGGGTGAATCACTTAGATGAAAGTTCATCTACTGGAATAAATGGAGAGGCCGCTTGGGCAGGCGACACAGGAGAGTCGGTGGTAGTGCTGACTTTCGCTGGTGAGTTACAAGAAGATCCGGCGCTGCTACTGTTTCCATCAAGGGTATCAGAAGATACACACACACCGGGATCTGACAGCTGTGCAACGTCAGAAGAAAGCATGTTGGTGATGCCCTGGAAAAATCTCTTTGGCTGATACTCAGTTTCCATTTCACATTTTCTTTTCAATGGTCCAAGAACGCTTGGTCTAATGCAGTTGATGGGACTCTGGCTTCTCCGGGTGGTAAATCGAGTCGTTGGGCTGGGAATAGGACTTGGAGGCAATCCATTGCTACTCACAAAACTTTGCAAGGATGGTGAGAAACACTGCTTCCCAATCCCCCGGGTGGGTGAGGGTGCTGGTGACACCGGAATGAAATCGATGCGCTTCGGGGAGGCGGACTTCTCCACATCGTTGTCACTCAGGCTGAAACTTTCCTCCCAGGAGTGGCTTATCTGCATTGCGTTCTGCACCTCGCGCTCGTGGACCGTCTCTCGGTTGATCAAGTCCATGCCTTCCTCCTGTTTGATCTGGTGCAAGCGGCTGCTGTGCATGCGGACGGGGGAGGCCGGCAGCAGCAGGCCGTGGCGGTTCGGGAACGTTGTGCTGTTCCGCCTGGCGCTCGGCGCCTCGGCCTGGAACACCGGCGAAGTGTCACTGAGGCCGTGGATCAGGGGGGCGCTGTTAGACCTCCTGAGGCCCCCGCCGGCGCTAGCGCCGCCGCCCTCCGCCGGGCTCCCGCCAGTACCCGGAGGCAGCTCCAGGTCTAGCTCCATCTTCTCCTGAGCCATGTCGGGGGCAGGGAGGCGGGGGCGGCGCTCAGAGACCTAGGACTCCCATTCCCCGCAGTCCAGGGCCAGGGCCGCCGCCGCCGCTGCCGCCGCCAATCTGTCAGCGGGCTCGTTCTTTTGCGCATGCGCGCCCTTTCGCGCAGGCGCGGTGAGATTCCTCTCCCCGCGGCGCCTGCTTAATGCGTAACAGCCTCAGCGCAGCCCTAGGGGGAGGGGCGAGGACCGGCCGGGCGACTACTCAGTACGTTTCTTCCGCAATTAGCTATTGAGCTGCGAGCTCGCGGCTACGCGTGTTTACGAGGCTACCGTATTCCCGAGTGTGCGCTTATAAAACCGGAGCACTGAAAGAGACGTCGTGGATGATAGGGGGCTGCATGAGGGGGAGTGGAGCTTGGCCTCACCAGGGAGGGCTTCCCCGAGGAAGGGACAATATCCTGAGTTCCGAAGGAGACAACATGGGTGCTGGGTAGTGAACCCGTCCAGGAAGCGGTACCAGCTTGGAGGCAGGCGGGAACCAGGAGGGGAGGGAGGGAGCGTGGGCTGCGGTGGAGACTGAGGGCCGGCTTACAGGACGTAGCGGACCAGGGCGGATTCTGGCCTTTATCCCGAGAACAATGGGAAACTTCGGCTTTCAAATTTCAAGCAAGGGTACGGCAACGACTGCAAAGCTGGCCGGCTGCTGTCTGCAGTCCGGATGGTTGGGAGATTAGAACCTACAGGAAAAAGACCGGAGGGGAGGCAGTCCTCTAGGCCACAGAAGATGGTATTTGCAGTAAGGTGTTAGTATGGGAGAGGAGATGGAGAGAATGGTAAATTTGAGAGCCATTTAGGTCAGGGGAAGAAACCAGTGTGTCGTTATACTGTTTCACGGTCCTATTTCTAGCACAAGCATGTGTGCCCAGGCATCTTCATTCAGTAGGAGAGATTAAACGAAGGGAAAGTTTTCACACTGGAAAACTACAAACACAATCCTCCGCTTAATATGAACTGTGACAGCACCTTAAAAATGGGCTTATACTTATTCCTTCATGTATTTTTATTTTGCATTCTTACTACGTACGATGCGCTGCTAGGAAAAAGGCCCTACTATGAAGGCGTTTCATTTCTCCCGAAGACCGAGAGAGATAAATAAGCTATTTTCAGATAGTGGTAAACCTCAGGCAAACACAGGATGGTGTGATAAGGCACTAGCGGGCAGGGGGGCAATTAGAGCAGAGATCGAAATCCAAGAAACAAGTTGCGTCCACATCTGGGGGATGAATATTCTAAGCACAGGAAGCAGCAAAGCCCAAGGCAGACGTGAGTTTGGGGAGCTGGCAGGAAAAGAGAAAACGGCAGCTGGAGCACAAGAGGGAGAGTGGTGGGAGGACATACAAGAGTTTGGATCTCATCCTAAGTACAGTGAAAAGCCACCGGGGACTTTAAAGTAGAAGAGTGATATTATCTGGTGGAGGTTTTAAATACCGCTTTGGCTCGGTGGGAACGAGGCTGAAAGAAGGCAAGAGTGGAAGCAGAAAGGCAGCGGAGGGATGGAACCAAGATCCGTTTTGGAAGTAGAACCAAAAGGACAGGCAGATAGATTAGATGTAGGTGATGAGAGGAACAGACAATTCAAAGGCAACCCACAGGTTTCTTACACCGATAGATGGTAGTATCATTCATTTACGGAGACGAGGGAGTGCGTTTCAAAAGGTGGAAATTAAGAGTTCCGTTTGGGTCGATTTGAACTGCAGGTGGCTATCCGATATCCGTGTGGCTATCTGAACTGAAAGGAAGCTTAGAGATTTTTGTTCATCCTTCTCTTTCCGCGGCTGAAGAATGTAAGGTCCAGAGAGGCTAAGTGACATACTAGCCATCACACAGCTCATTTCGTAATGGGAACCAGTACTAGAACCAGGTCTTCTGGTTCCTAGTCCATGCCTCTTTCTCCACTGTATCTCAAAATGCTTTTATTTTGAGTTCCCTATAAAATACAGGTCCTAATGATACAATAATGTTGGCTATTCATGCCTGTAATTGTGTAGAAACTGATTTAAGCTTCCCAAGTGTCAGACACTATTCAAACTGCTTCACACGTAGTCCCTTGCTTAGTCCTCACCACAACCCTAGCAAGGAGGTATTATTGTCCTCATTTTGCAAGGGTAATCGAGATGCAGAAATTAGGCAACATCCCCAGGATGACAGTACACAGAAGCATCTGGCTTTTCTGGCTCCAGAGCTGGGGTACCACACGGACTCCTCCAAGTGCAGTGATGTTTTAGGACTGAGACAAGCCATTTCCAATTGTGAGCTCTGTGAAGACAACAGGACCCAAGACAGGGTAACAGAGTGAAGATGTTCTCATACAGAAGTGACAGCATGATAATAAAAATGGTGAATTTGCTCTACATGAAATACACGGAGAAGAACCGTAATGGGGGCAAAGTTGGAAACGGAAGTCATGGGGAGAGAACTGGGGCTCTGAATGCCAGGCCAAAGGGCCCATATTTAACCTGTGAGGCAAAAGGAAACCACGAAAGGTTTCTGGCAAGAGGAAAGACCATGAGACCTACGCTTTGGGCCCTGCCAGGCAGCTGAAGGATGGAGCCAGCTGGAAGGATGGAAGCGGAAAGAATCCACTCCTCGGACCTGCCGGGCACTCTCAACAGTCCACAGTCCCCCGTAATCCTCACTGCGATCCTACCAATTAGACACTGTTATGCTCATTCTGTAGGGGGACAACTGAGGTTCAAATATTGCAAAATGCCCAAGAGGTACGTGGAAGAACCAAGATGGCCCAATCTGAATCAAGACGCGGCTTCAAACCCTGCATTGTTTTTGCTACCCTTTCCACGGAGTGGACAAGGGGAATCTGATGGCCAGCTGTGAGATGAAAAGGAGGGTCTAAACTCAAGTTGAATTCAAGCAGAAACAGGATATGGGTTTGAAAGACAGGCAGGTAACAACAGTATCTGACCCCCTGGGTTTGGAGACTATGGAGAGACGTCACAGATGACAAGTTTGAGCGTGAGTGGCTCAAAGAATGGTACAACATTAAATAAACACAGGAGAGATGAGAGGAAGACCTTTCAGAAGGACACTGCTGTTGGATAAATAGAATAAAGCATTAACGACAGAACTTCCCAAGAGCCAAGGCATATTGCTAATTTGCGTATTATTAAAGTATTACTAACGTGGCTCAAATGTGCCAACACTGTGTTCATCCTTGTCTGGACGAGTACAATAATCTTTACCAGTAAAGCAAAGAGATGGTGGTAAGTGCACAAAATCAAACACCTGTGCCCTTTGGTTCCTGCCTGAATACACTTACCAGCTATCTTTACTCATTTCTTTGTTCCCGTCCCTGTCTCTATAGTCCGTTCTCCAACCAGTGTTCAAGGTAATCCTCAAGGGAAGACTTGAAGAGAACCCTTCAGTGAGTTCTCATTCAGAGAAAAAGCCAATGTCCTTACAACGGTCTGTAGAACTCTATGTGATGTGGGTCTCTGCTGTCCCTCTGACCCCGCCTCCAAATAATGCCCCCCTCACTGCCTTTCCTCCAACTGCAGAGGTCCCTTACTGTCTTTCAGCCCACTAGGCAGGCTCCCCACTCCTCCTGGCTTACTCTTCTTTCCAGTAGGACATCAATCCCTTCAGGTCTCGGCACAAATGTCATTGAGAGGCTTTCCCTGACCGTCCCTTATAAAAAGCGACAGCGGTGCCCAACACCAAACCTACACTCATTCCCATACCCCTTACGTGGTCTGTATTTTCCTCTAGAGCACCAAATGACATATTTGCATATATAGTTTTCTTGCCTCTTGTCCTCGAGAAAATCAGCTCCACAACCACAAAAACAAGGCCTTCGCTTTACTTCCCACTGTATGCCTAGTACCTAGAACAGGGCCTAGTACGTAGGACTCAAGAAGTAGTTGTGAATCCCTGTGTGAATGAATGATGAATGACTGAACGGCCTAGCACAGCTCCATTGAAATGGAAGAAAGTTCTATTATTTGAAAGTTCTATTATTTGAAACTCCAGCCTTTTCTACACAGAAAAGATAACGTTTATCTGTTTTTGAGAGAGAGACAGAGCATGAGTGGGGGAGGAGCAGAGAGAGAGGGAGACACAGAATCCAAAGCAGGCTCCAGGCTCTGAGCTGTGAGCATACAGCCTGAAGCGGGGCTCGAACTCAAGAGCTGCAAGATCATGACCTGAGCCAAAGTCACATGCTCAACTGACTGAGCTACCCACGCACCCCTTTTTTACACTGATTCTGAGTACTTATTTGGACAATTTGTTTTCTTTTATCGACATTATTATTAAAGTGCCCTCCAGACCACACAGGTTGATCTACTGAACTAACAGTTAGGTGAACTGAGAAACTGAAGCCCTAAGTTTCCATTCTTTTTCAATCATATGCTGATACACTCTTGATAGAATTAAAATGCTCAGTGCTGAGGACCCCAAGCAGTGTTTAATATCTTTAGTTACTGCTTCCTCTCAAAGGGATAAATGAGAGAAAACAGCCGCCATAAAATGCAATTCAGCCCGCTGCAAATGAACAATGCCAGAGGCAGGATTCAGGAGACTGTCCCTGAGTCAATTCATCCTTCTGGTTTCACTCTGGTATGAATTAAATACTACACATAGATAGCTGATATTCATGCTCACTCCTGAGTCATAAAAGCAGATTTCTATTCAATAGTTAAATTTTATTGTGATTAATATTGTATGTTCTTAAACCCACAGATAGTTTCCTTTTAATTCCTAGGGGCAGCTTTTCACTATTAAGCCCCAAGCATATGGCAAGGCAAATACCTACCTCTGGATCCATACTGAATGAATTTAAAATACAAACGTGTGTGTGTACATACTTTTATTATTTTTTTATTTTTGGTGAGAGGGAGAGACAGGGAAGGAGGAAGGGAGGGAGGAAGTGCATGTGAGTTGGGGAGAGGGACAAAGGGAGAGAGAGAATCCCAAGCAGGCTCTGTGGTCAGTGCAGAGCCATAAGCGGGGCTCGAGCCCACGAACTATGAGATCATGGCCTGAGCCAAAGTCAAGAGTGGGACGCTCAATTGAATGAGCCACCCAGGTGCCCCTATATGTATACTCTTAGATGGACTGACAAATATCTCAACA